AATTTTTTTTTAGAAGTTTCCAAATCTTGACCCGGCCGGGTTATGAAAACCAATTGATTAACTTTGCATGGCCTTATTTAAGTATGGTTTTTTTTTTAAAAAAAAACAACAGGTTTAAGTTTTATGATTCTCAAGTTAAGCATGTCTCGATTAAAGCGATTCTTAATAACAACGATGATGAAAATTTTCTGTATAACAATGCATACATGCTGATATATTATCGTGAATCCGATATCGATGAAATATTATGTCCATTGCTTCATAAACACCTATTAAGCCATTCGTGTGAGTGTACAATTTAATAAATTATTTAAGATTTATTTGGTTTATTTGTGGTTATAAAATGGTTATATTTACAGATGAAAAAAACTTAGCACACGAACAAAAGAAAGAAAAAGGCTATTTACAATTATCGGTAATCTTAAAAAACTTTTTTATAATTAACTTTTACGATTAGAAAGTTTGATAATATCGATATTATTATTTAGGTAGTGACCGAAGAGATGTTTAAGAACCATAAGGGATTCAATCTTATTAACCTTTGTGATCGAAGATTTCCATTGACTGAAGTTTTTCAAATTGAAGTTTTAAAAACAGACACTTTTGGTGCTTTTAAGAATGCTGTTGCTGCAAAGTTTCAAATTCCTATTAATCAAATGAGATTCTGGATAGTCGAGAAACAAGACAACATTAATTTTAGGCTGCATAATCTTATAACCGACGATCGTGAGTTATTTGTAACGCCTTATTAGTGTTTCAGCTAAGCTACTTTTCACATCCAAAATCACTGCTTTGTATATTTATTAATTTTCAATTACAACTAGTAATGGATAAAATCAGACTTACACAATATGATGATTTACGAGTGTATATGGAGGTGTACGAAAAGCTATTAGATGTTAAAGTGATAATAATTTTGCTGTTATTTAGTATCTCTATTCTATAAATCATGCGTAGTTTTACTAATTTTCATTATCTTATATAGAAAAGGCCTATAAAAACATCATCTGTTTTAATTTTTCTTAAATATTTTAATTTATATACACAATCGTTAGAGTATGTAATATATTGCGGCAGATTATGGCTAACATACAAAAAATTAATTCAAATTTTACACGCATAAACAGAGGTCTTGGTCAGTTGTACGTTCAGACAGATTATACAATCAAAGTTCTTTTTCCTATTCTCTGTGAAAGAAAACAATTATCGTCAAACACACTTCTTGATATATATAAAGTGCGTTAGCTACATTGATTCATATTTTATTTGTTTTCTTTACATTCAAAGATACTATATATATATATTACTAAAAACTAGGAAACTAAACCAAATGTAATCGAAAAGATGAATCCAAAATTTACTTTTAAAAAATATAATATAAAAAATGGTGACATAATATGTTTCCAAAGGACATTAACGAATAAAGAGTATGTATGTTATTAGATTTTTTATCTCTTATTTTTTAACTAACGGTTTAAAATTTTATATAGGATTCAAGAGCATGTTTCCGCAAATTGCATCTATAGCATTCCTCAATTTTTTATATCATTATCAATGAATATTATCGTTCATTTTAAGTCAAAATTTGGATATAAAGATCCGATACCTGAATTTAAATTGGTTTTAAATAAAAATTCAACATATAAATCTGTATGTTATGCTATTTAATTTCACTATTTCTTTAAATACTATTATATTTCATTTAATTTAATAAGTCTTTTATACTTAGGTTGTTAATCAAGTCGCTATTCATCTTAATATCGATCCTTTAAAATTACGTTTCATATCAGTAGGATCATATGGAGAACCAACATTTGAGATTGATAGTATGACTGTTCAAACACTATCCGAGTTGCTTCAATCTTCAAGTCTATACTATGAAATACTTTAGTATTTAAAATATACTATAGGGTATAAATGATTTTGATCAATGGTATAAAAAAATATGGATGCTTAATTTCTTATTTGTTTAATTAATATAATTGCTATCAGGCGAAAATAATAGGTTTGTCCGTAGCCGCTCATTTTTCTCGGCAGATTTTCTCTACAGGCCATTAACCCTATCTCATTAATTATATCAGGGCCCAATGTCACCAATACATTTTTTGTTAGTTTTAATTGCTTAAACATTTTATGTTAATCTAGTTTAAATCATTAAAAGGTAATTCGTGATTAAAGGGTAAAAAAAGATTGTTCAATTTTATAAATAATGATAATAATAATAAAAAAACAGATTTTTATATAGTTGTTCTAACAAGTAAACCTTTTTTAAACTTTTAATAAAGGTTAGTGTTCATTGAGATGACTATAATGTAGTAAAATTTGTCTAGTAACTCACGAAATATGACCATTTTTTGATTTATTACTATATATACGATTGTCGCTTAAATACTATTATATGAAACTAACAATTATAAAATTTGACCCTTAATTGAGAACTATCCTTTAATCAATAGATACAATATTTATAATGGGTACAAATATATGGTGCTAAACAATATTGATGCTTTCTATCTTTTCTAATTAATTTGACACGAATAAATTATGAACTTTGAAATATGAAATTTATAATAATTGTGGTTGATAAAATCTTTTTAACAGTTTGTAAGAAAATTTTTTCTGATATCAAAATCTAAATTATAATCAAATATTTTTATTTATTTCTTTAACTCTTACAGATCTCAAACTAGATAACTTATACAGCAGTTATGGTTTCTTAATAATTTTATATAAAACCTTTTTTTACTCCAGAACCAATGATTCGTTATAGAAAGAGTTGGAAGTGGTGGTTTTTTAATATTGGTAGTTTCTAACATTGGACATAAAAAACCTCCAACCAAATTCTTACTTTCATAAGTGTAAAATCGATTACTGATCAAGCCATACACTTTAAAGTCTTCTTCGCAAACACAACCAACTTTGGACCCTGTTCTATGCTCTTCATTATACCATGCGCAGTTGAAAGACAACGTTTCTCTGATGTTGGTTGGTTGGAGGTTTGCATTCTTCCCATACCCAAGACATACCATCGTTTGACTCCTTCCAAAGTTTAATAGAATCATCGTTCTCTTTCTGTTAGGTACATGAAATTCTGAAACATTCCATAAAACTAAGTTCGAACATTTGATGGTTTAAGAATATCTTGGTGATTTCGTTGGTGTCTTTTTCAATTTGACGTTATGACAGTACTGACTTCACTGTATGAAGACGTTAATCTAATTCATTATGGTCAATAAAAAAAAAAAAATAAAAAATAAAAAAAAATAGAACTAAGTAAATACGATAATGCAAACGGAGTGATTCAGAATTAAGGATCAGGTTTCTGATTTCAAATTAATTTAGTGATATTTTTATTTCGAAATCAATGGTCCATAAATCTTAATTATTTTGGTTTGTAAGCTTATTTATATAATAAAAATAGTAATTAATATTTTTTGTGATCGTGAATTTTCTTTCTAGACTTGATACAGTATTTTTTTCATATATATTTTAAAAAAATGCATTATATTTCTGATTGACAATTGCATATTAAAAACATAAATAGTATTTTAGAAGTATTAATGAAGAATATTCTAATAGTACTCATAAAGTATTAGCTAATATTCTCAAAAAAAAAAAATCGATAAACGGTGGAATTATTGTAAACAATTGAATTAGATCGATCGATACCTTACAATTCGTGAAAAAACTATCAAGTTTTATGATTTTTTTTCTCAAGTTCTCTTCTTTAGTAGTTTGTTTAAAAGTTTTTTGGGAGGCATATTAAATATTAATAATTCGAAAATAATTATGTAATATTATGGATAAAAAAAATTTTATTAATTTATTATGATAGTATCATATGCTAACAATACATCAACAAAAAAAGCTACTCATTTTATCTCCGGATAACTCCTATTTCTTTTTCTGATTTCAAAACTTCAAACAGAAATAGACCATTTTGTACCCCCAATTATTTTCGAAACTAGTCTCTAACCCGATGCCTTGCACCAGGCCTTAATATTATTAAACCAATTCTGGTTCAAAAGAACCCGATTCGGGTCTCCTTGAACCAATCCTGGTTCAAAAGAACCCGATTCGGGTCTCTTTGAGCCAATCCTGGTTAAAAGAACCCGATTCGGGCTCTTTGAGCCAATCCTGGTTCAAAAGAACCCGATTCGGGTCTCATTGAGCCAATCCTGCTTCAAAAGAACCCGAATCGGGTCTCTTTGAGCCAATCCTGCTTCAAAAGAACCCGAATCGGGTCTCTTTGAGCCAATCCTGGTTCAAAAGAACCCGATTCGGGTCTCTTTGAGCCAATCCCGGTTCAAAAGAACCCGATACGCGTCTCATTGAGCCAATCCTGGTTCAAAAGAACCCGATTCGGGTCTCTTTGAGCCAATCCTGGTTCAAAAGAACCCGATTCGGG